CACTCGTTGCCTCAAGAAAGGAACAAAGATTGCCATCAGTGACTCCTCGTATCGAAATGCCTTTGAACAACTTAAGTCCTGTTGACCAATGCTCCAGTATTCGCATAACCAGACGTAACGCAACCATTCACGCTGACTACGGATGGTTCCAACTTTGCGATAGGATCAGTGCTCTCTCAGAAAGGTCACGCTATCGCCTACTACTCCCGTACGTGAACCCGGCGGACCGGAAATACTCTACCATTGAAAAAGAATTACTCAGCATTGTGGATAGCTGCAAACACTGTAGGCCTTATCTTTAGGGACAAAGGTTCGATATTGAATGCGATCACCAACCAATGCAGTGCAGTATTCTTTAAAATATCCATTATATCGATTTCACCGGTGGAGACTTAAGTTGGAAGCCTTTAATTTTAATATTAAATATGTCACTGGGAAAACTAATTATGTCGCCGATGCGCAATCACGCATTGAAGTGAATGCCCTTGATGATGATATTGTATCTAATGCCGCCACTGTCCCTAACGATGAATGTCAGACTACTTTATCGTGAAACTATCCATTCTAATCAGGAAGATCCAATCTTTACGTTGCGCATGTCAGAACGAAGTCTCAACCAAAACAAGAATTAATTAGCCGATCCGGTGGCCGAGATCGCTAAGGCAGTAGTGCCGTAGCGAACTCGGACCGAAGGATCGCAGGTTCGAGTCCCGCCTCGGGCATGGTTGTATTGTGTTTCGTCCTTTCACCCCCTATCATCGTCATTATCGTGTCAACCCACAGTTACCATACCGTTACAAGCAATAGTGGTCGCTAATGACCTAGTAGTTGATGCGACCTTAAATAACAAAAAAAAAAATCAGTTGTTCATTACTTTCGTCAAAACACCCGGACATTTTTAAAAGGCACAGAATTATTAGAATAAGCTGTACTCAAAAAAGTCTTTCACGCGACTTACAAGATCTTCTCCGGAAACTCGTTTCTCCGGCTTAGAAATATGCAGTTTATTTCTATGACATAACAATTGAAATACCCTTTATCAGAATACGTCAAAAACATTTTACATTAGATCTGACTATTCTCCGCACAACTAGATTTCTAGAGAATGTAGAAGACTGTAACAAAGCAGCAACAGCAGATTGCACAATATCACTGTCTTAATCATAACGACATACAGGAAACAGTTGAACATCTAAAACAAAAATAATACTGGCCAAATGTTACCACGCGAGTTAGTGAATACATCAATAACTGTGATTTGTGCCAAAAGAACAAGTACGAGCGGCAGCCCAACCAGGTACCGAATGAGGGCCCCATCACCGCTGACACACCTTTTTCACTCCTCTATGTGGATACTTTTCACTTTGAGGGTGAAAGAATACTTACTATCCTTGACGTATTTTCAAAATACACAGGTTTACATTCTACCAGACGCGACAGATTACTCTGCGTTATGTACCCTTAAACCGTATTTCTCCCACCACGGATTTCCCGCGCAGATTATCATGACCAGGGCACTGAGTTCCAGAATCTCTGATTTTTGTTGCTCTCACAACATTGTTTATCACGCAACCGCTCCTTTAAACTCGTCCTCCAACTCCCCCATGGAGAGCGTTAACTCCACCATCGGAGAGGAATTGGCATTCTCAGAAGTAAGGATACGGCCAGCCCTTTGCAACACCTGGTGGTTGGCGTAGTCATTCTGTATAATTCCTCCATTCACTCGACCACCAACAGATCCTTTTCGGTTACAATAGGTAGCCACTACAACTCTCTGGATTACGTATTCGCCCCGACATTAGAAGAATATACACTAAACAAAGAATCACAGGTACCAAAGCTACCTGCCCTAAACCGCCAATGCGAAGCCAACATTTTCACCACCACTATAAGTTAGGCGACACTGTCTACGTCACTGACCCATTAACCTGCAACCGGAAATCACTATCTATAGAGCAGGCAAACTAATTTAAAAAGAAGGCAACAAAATTCATTGTCGCATGAAAAATGGCAACATCGCACTTTCGGCACTTTCGACAGGTGAAAACTAAAAGAATGCACTTTCTTGCAGCTCCACCATCAGAGAGGGCGGGACAAGATCCACGCGAATCGAAACGTTGGGATCCCCGCCGACCACTTGGACGAACTGCGACTACCGCCCGCTACCTCAAGCTCACGTTCCACTTTAACTTCATCGATTCAGTAGATTGTTTTAAAATTATTATGGATGCATCTACATCTCTCAAAAGTAACGGCAACAACACGTTTCCATTCTTGTTCCATTCACGAACTCTCACAATCGCTCCGACAGACGGCAGTGCATCTTGGAAAAGTTATGCAATTGCAACTAACGCGACCACATTAACGGGCTCGGCACGGTCATTAAATGGCAAACTGGACCAAAACGATTACGATAATCTTGAGTCACAAAAGACACTTCAAACGCACAAAAGACATGAAATCAGGCGCATCAACCGCCTGGTTCAGTAATTTTATCTCTCAAAAAGTTTACGAGATGAATTGCTTAAATTTGAACTTGGGCGTTATCGCAGCAAGAGTTCAAAATCTACCTCCTAGAACATTACCTATATAGTGATGTGCTTAAAGACACTTTCGAACAGTATATTAACCCTCGAAAATACTGTCAGCCTCTTGTTCACCGACATGACAAATGTGCAATTATTCTCCTATGAAGATATTTCTTCCATAGCTCAACACCTACGTGACATCTACCCGGAAGTTCATTGATTAAGATGGACTCTTATTATCCATAAGAAAACTTAAAGTTCACAAAAACAAACGTTGACATGATCGACCATAATTTGGTCGTTATTCTATAAGTGTCTTCAACCGATGGCGACATGTACCATTTGTACACCATCACCCTTGATCCCTCTCGAGAAATATTATCTCAAGGGGTAAACGGCCAAGTGGGCCACTACTCTTTGTGTTAAAGGAACTCTGACGTATGTGTGTACCCTCATTACAATCTTCGTACTACGGCGTGCAGCATGACGAACACTGCAAGCTGTGTCTTCGTCCACGTCACAAACAACGTTGTATTATTCCAATTACTCAATAAAGACAATAACAAACTCGTAAAAGTGCAACGGGGGGATCTCTTCTGAACAGAACGTTGCAAGGCATGATATGCTCAATAATGTTCATGTCTAGGGATTTTGGTGGCCAGTAGAAGTGTTAAAATTCAGAAGAGTGTTCCTGGAGCCACTCTGGGCGCATGGGTTGTCGTATTGTCTTGCTGGAATTACGTAAGTCCGTCGTGATGCACAATGGACATAAATGGGTGCCGGCAATTAGATAGGATGCTAACGTACGTGTCACCTGTCAGAGTCGTATCTAGACATATCAGAGTCCCATATCACCAACTGCACACGCCCCATACCATTGCAAAGCCTCCACCAGCTTGAACAGTCGCCTGCTGACATGCAGGGTTCATGGATCCATGAGGTTGCCGCCATATTCGTGCACGTCCATACGCCAACAATGTGAAACGAGACATACCTCACGAGACCATCCTCATACCAGTTTGCAATGTTTCCAGGAATATACTGTCCACTGTTGGTGTTGACGGGGCGTTGTCCAGGCGAGGCGTAAAGCATTGTGCCATGCAGTCATCAAGGGTCATGCATTATCGAGATGGGTCCGAAACCGCATGTTGATAATGTCTCGTTGAATGGTTCGCACGCTGACACTTGTTGATGGCCCAATATTGAAATCTGCAGCAATTTGCGTATGGGTTGGACTTTTGTCACACATAATGATTGCTCTCAGTCGTCATCAGTCCCCTTCTTGCACATCATTTTGCGGCCGCAGCGATGCCGGAGGTTCGATGTTTTACCAGATTCCTGATATTCACGGTACACACGGTGAAATGATCGTACAGGAAAATCCAAATTTCAACGCGATCTCGGGGATGCTATGCCTAATCTCCCTTCCTCTGACTGTAAAACCATGTTCAAACTCACTTAAATCGTGATAGCCTGCCATTGGAGCAGCAGCAACCGATGTGACAGCTGTGCCAGACTCTGGTTGTTTTCTATAATCGTTGCCGACCGGAGCACCGTATTCTGATTGGTTCCAGATCTCTTTATTTCAATACGCATGGCAGAATGAGTTTTCTTGGCTCTTCAGTGTACATCAATTTGTTGTGAAGATGGGATGCCTAAATTCAAACCTGCATTTTTGCCAATTATTTATAAACAAATAGATAATTTAAAAAGTATTTGATTTCTAAGATCTTATATAAATCAAATAAACAAGAGAAAACAAAATAGAACAGGATGACAACTACGTTAACTACATTGTTTCCTCTTACCCTGACCGGGATGCAGTCGGTCTATACCGGGGTGGGTCGTATGTAAATTGGAGACCAAATAATCCATTCATCTTTTCTCGCAAATCTTTCTAACTTCACATGTAAATTGGGGACCAAACCAACCCGGACACGGACTGATTGCGCAGGTAAGCGCGTTAAGGGGGCCACCGCTTCACTGTCCAGCTATTCCTTGTGCCTTATTGAAAATATTCCAGACTATCTCCTATATCAAAATGAAAAGCAAAGAAAGCACTAGAGGAGAATCCAAATTTCATGGTCAGCGTTATAGAATATTAGCCGAGAAAATGGAAGAATATAAAAATACCAAGATAAGGAGAATTCATTCAATCTACGAATGATTCATTTGAATGAAAACCAACTTTAATGAAACCATATTTCGAAAGAAAAATGCCATTTCTAAGTCTGGAAAATTGGGAAGGGAGTTGTGTTTTAAAAATAATAGCTATGAAAATGTTTTCGACAGTAAAAGTGCCACCTTCCACTTTTACCCGGAAGGGGATGAGAGTGTCTCCAATGTAGGAATGCCCTTCTCCAGGTCGGTCCCCAATTTACATACGGATTAAACTTTTCTGGTCCCCAATTTACACCCGCCGATGCCTCGCGAGGTGGCTGCGTTGAGAGGGGCGTGTGCCGGGAGGCTCACCTGGGTTGCTGACCCACTCCTGCAGCGCCTTCTGCAGGCGGCGCACGTGCAGCGGCTTGGAGGCCATGCCCACCAGCGCCATGATCTCCAGGAACTCCTCCTCGCCTGCGTCGCACAGCTGCTGCACGTCGTCGCCGCCCATCTCCAGCAGCGTGTCGTAGTAGGCGAGCAGCGACGCGCGCTGCATCACGCGGAACAGCTGCAGCTCCGCCTCGTTGGCCGGCGCCGACGTCACCACCACTATGACACCAGTCACGCCCACTCACTCTCTCTCTCTCTCTCTCTCTCTCTCTGTATATATATANNTATATATATCTTTGACCCCGGTGAATAAACTGATAAGTCATGAAAACTTATTCCCTGATTTACCTCAGTTGAAAGATGTTTTTGCTGTCCTGTAAAATTGAAGCATTCATGACTTATCAGCTTATTTACCGAGGTCAAAGATAAATACGAAAACTGAAATAGCGTACAACGAGTTATATGCATTTTTATATGTGTGGCATTTGCAACTGATTTTTAGGCAACATTGCATGCTTAACTGTTCGGGAAGTCACGTTCTGTCGCAGTCAAGGAGATTTCAAGTCCCTGTCATCTGTGAATCTATCTGTGCCTACCCTCAACCATTTCAGGCACTGCACTACAACACATGTCGGGTGACCAGTCTCGATCTCACTGCGAGCACCGGTTGGGGAGAGAGGGAGGAAAAGGGAACTAATGAATCAATCAATTGATATGTGTTGTCGATAATCTAAAATAATAATAATAATAATAATAATAATAATAATAATTATTATTATTATTATTATTATTGAAAAGCGATGTTGGAGATGAGATGAATAATAGAGAAAAAGCGGAGTTAGAGACTGGGGGGGGGGACGCCTCAAGGTCCCCCTTGTCCGTCACAAATTCCATTTGGTTTTTCCAGGCATCGGACACGACGAGAAAATAGGCGCACATTGGTTTCACATCATTGGAAAATACAGTTAGATTTATCTATGTAATCTAATACCGTGGTCACAGTTCTTCCCCTCTTCAATTACCTACTCCCCCAGCACAGACCTCAGTTGGCGTTGCTTGTCAAGCCCTTCCACAGAGAATATTATCAACCGTACGACGGAGCCCTTCCTCAGTGACTATCGACATCGGTTATTGATGTTCGATGGCGCCCTTCGCCAGCTACCGGTACAGTCATCGTAACCCTGCGACAGAGCTCTTTTTTAGAGTCCTTTCTAAGCCCTAAAGTTCTAAAGTCCTTTCTATTAGAGTCTTTCTCCAGCGCCTTCCGCCAGAGTGTTCTGTGAAAACCCTGTAACAGAGCCCTTCGTTAAAATGCTTATTTTTCAGCCATTATGAGCTGTTCGCCAATTAGCTTTATTAAAGCCCCTGTGATGAAGCCCTTCGTTTGAGCCCTTAAAGAGCAGCATCCAACGGAGAGCTCCCTCGTCAGAGCTCATCGTCAGGATAGATGTTGTGAGCTAATAAATAAATAAATAAATAAATAAATAAATAAATAAATAAATAAATAAATAACCCTTGGAAAAAATATAATATAACTAGTAAATGCATTTAATTATCTTGGCTATAAAATAAAATATTACTAAATAATGATTTACAAGTAAAATTAACAGATATAAACACTTCTGTGGCAAATGGCTCGAACTTTGAAAAATAAAGTCAGAAAGGAAATAACGAAACTACAAAACTGTAGTTCTACGCGTGCTGTTATACAGAAGTGAATGCTGGATATTAACTAAAGATCAAATGAGAAGATTAGGATCGGCTGAAATGAAGTTTCTTCGAAACATAGCAGGTTATACACTTCTTGATCACAACAAAGGTGAAGAATTTACAAACGAATTAAAAATTTTAAGTGTGAATGACATCATGAAAGAGTATAGAGAAAATGGTAAAATCATATATTAAGAATGCCCGAAGAAAGGAAAGTGAAAGTTGCCTTGAACTACAAGTCGAAAGGGAGAAGAAATGTGCGATGACAGTTGAGAAGAAGGAGTGAGCAGTTTTCAGGTGCCGGAACAGGCTGAACAAGTCTAAACCTTGCATTTGATTGATTGATGTTTCCGTTCTCCGTAAATGTAGTGGACGTTTCATCGCGGGAGGTGGCGGTGATCTTCCCCCGCTGGATGGCGAAATCCGGCGCCTAGCTATTCGCCGGCGAGCGAATTTTCCTCAAACAGGTGCCTCCCACCAGTGGGGCACCGCCTCAGCCGGGCGAAGCTCTAAGCTCCCGTATAGCCTCCCGGCGTGTGAGGTAGTGCTTGTAAGTGTAGGTGTGTGCAAGTAAGGGGTGAGAATTGGACAAGGAAAAAGAAAAGAACGCGCGGTCCGTGATCCGTTTGTTAGGATACTGCTCCAGCATTCGTCTGGTGTTAATCGTAGAAACAACGGAAAATCACAAATCAGAGCTGCTGGCGGCTAAAATTCGCCTTCAGACAGTGGCTGAACTCGGCATAACCATGTGCGTAGTGTCAAAAATCCTGCCATCCTGTCGTGACTCGGATCCTAGCAGCTCCCGGTCGGAGCTACTGCAGTGACATCAGGTCCCCAAGTCAATTCCGGATATTTTGAAAGTACCATAATATTTATTTATGAAGAGAGTGGTAAATGCTACCTTTTATTTTGCGAGTATGAAAAGGTGCGACACGAGGCCGATAGGCCTCAATCCTACGAAAAAAATAAAATCCCTTCTACTTTGCATGTCATACATTACGCTGAATACTCTGCATGTCACACATCTTTTAGACATACTGACGTTCGTTTTATTTTTTATTCAAGTATATAAATCACTTAATGATACGTTAAGGGCATACTATGGTTACGTACTATACGTTAAGGGTGTCCATACTATGGTGTTACAAGGCCCCTGTAGTTGTTAACCTCCGCCGGCATTAGTTATGACAAATTTTATCAAAACATCGATATTTCGATACAAGGCAAAATAGTATTGGATGTCGACAAAAACATAATGTTTAAAATATCGATGTTTTAAATACTCGTATGATAAAACAGATGGTATTTTTCCATTCTATTTCCATTTTTATTTAATGTACTTAAATGAAATACCGCTATATTTTATTGTTTACTCACATGTAAGTAATAAGTTAATAATAATGTTTATAGAATGTAAAGAAGGAAATAAAAAATAAAGGACATCCTGTTTTGCTATTATTCCATTTATTAAATTTTCTTCATCAATTATCGAAGTTAAACGTCCAGATGTAATATACATAATACGTAAATAATAGTTTAAAGTACATTCTGCCTTATATTCTTTAAAGTATATTCTGCCAAATTTTCTAATCAATATTCTACACAGTCAATGTTCGAAATTCAGTCGAATGATAGTACCACGTACACTAATTATCGAAAAAGGTAACACAAACATTTTTTTAAATCATCGTTTCTGGAAAACATATCGATCTGAAAAAAACATCGATGTTTGTGATGGTAAAAACATGGCTGTTCTTTAGCCATCCCTCGCCCACGTGCCTCTGCTTGCGAGCGCGGGCGGGCGCAGGCTGTGACACGTTCGCGCGGGGGGGGGGGGGGGAGCGCCCGGCGCGGGTCGATGGGAGTGGGAGAGAGGGGGCGGGGCGCGCGTGCTTGCTCTAGGTCAGGGATGCGGCGCTCGGCGCGCCGAACAGGCGGCGGCCGCCCACGAGGAGCGCAGGCGTGAATTTACTCACGAACAAACGCTCCTACGGCACCGCAAACTCCCGCCGGCTTAGGAGGCTCGAGGCATCAGCTAATGCCACTGCAGCGCCTCTAGTTCGAGTCCACAAGGAGGCGAGGTTTTCGATGCTAGCGACATAGCTACGAATAGGTACGATTCAATCGCAGCCTGAAGAAAAATTCTAGCGACCAGCTTCTCTGATCGGCAGTTTTGCGTGGTTCAGGCGGAGTAGCACCCTAACAAACGGGCCATGGACCGACATTTCCTTCCTTGGCCTTTCCTCATCCTTTACTTACTCACACGCGGCGAAGCACCGCTGGTAGGAGATACCAGTTGGGGTTAAGCCCGCGAGCTGGCGGTAGGGTGTCACCGAATCTCGCCATTTAGCGGGAGACGACCACCGCCTCCTCCCGCGATAAAAACATACACTGCCTTCATGCGACTAATGATCTTGGTTGTGGTCGCGTCCGAAACCACTTTCTCGCATTATTTGAAACGCTTGCAATTTTGGAAAGTGTAGTGAGTTCAATTAAGCCTGCGCCCTGTGCCATTTTTATTAGCGACTTCACACTATACAAGTGAAACATTAAAGAAAAATTTGGAATTTGTTTCTCAGAAAACCTTGTTTTTAAAATTGTCTTTGTAATGCAAAATTAGACAAAAACTACTCATATTTCACATGAACTCATTTAAATATCGAGTTTTAAATAAGATACTTCTTTTAGAAAATTTTCAATATTGTAGTTGTAGGAAAATGGCAGGAAAAAATTTTAACTTTTTCAATTTTTGAAAATTCAGAGTATTCAAACTTCGACGTAAGGCCTTAAAGTGCTTTATTCGGTAAAGAAATAATCAAAAAATTTGGAATAATTCTGAGAACATTTTTAAAATGTCTTTGAAGTGAACCCCAAAATCCAAAGTGTCGTGGAATCACCCAGATCGATTGGAAAATATCAATTTTGTTGCAAAACCTCCTAACGGTGTGCCCAAATAGCATTGTTCACAGGTAGACGGACAGGCCGACTTTTTCCGTCAGTTGTTTTTTCGTCATCAAGGACCTACAACACATGGATTCTGACTACACAACATGGTAAAAGAAGTAATTAACGTCATACAAGGAAGAAGATTTATCATTTATCAACATTTTCGGCATCAGTGACTTGCAATATGAGTTACTCTGGACTATATCGCCGTTTTTAGTTTCCGCATTTCAAAAAATTATCTTTACTACGTATGTGGTATAGGTGAAGATAGAAACAGCCGAATGCGTAGTTACAAAATTACCTTACAGAATTGTTAAAGGGATTCTACAGGTTCCGGATTATCTGTTGTGTTATCTCCAGACTCAAATAATTATTTAAACGCTTTTATATTAATTGCACTCTCGATTATGTAATTATGTCTACATATTTTGCTACATTGTAGATGAATAACAATGTATTTGTGTCTGCAACATAATTTCAATGTTTATTTTAAAGTATAAAATTGAGTAAAGTTTTACGTTTTGATGTGAACCCGCTAGTTCATTTGTTGAAACCTCAATTTATTATTTCAATCGTCTCAAAAATTTAAATGACGCTGTATATACCTTAAAAAAAAGATATTGTTGAAAGTTGAAAATTAAGATGACAAGATGAAATAGAAGAAAATATTCTTGAGACAAAAGACGTCGCTGTTGGCTCTTGTATAAAATTGGACTAAACTGAAAGTAGTAGAATATAGATGATCTGAGTATTATTAGGAATCTTGTTCCCCGTGAGTTATTTCAAACTACACAAAAAAGTAAGTAAACAAAAAATAAGCTAAAGCATTTGTTTCACCATTTCCTCAATACTAACCATCTAACATCAGCACATATGCAGCATAGTTTAGAAATTCTATGCTCTAGGAAGAATGTAAATAGAAATAGATTCCCAGAACACTTGCAATGAATAACCTTAGAAAAATCAGAGATGCTCGCTCCAGAATTTCCTAAACACGGTGTTTAGCACATTGAATATCATCAAAGGAAAAAATAATTTAAAAAATCTATTGGGGCAAGCCATTCAGCTCGTCCCTCATGCACAGAAAGTTTCTGGCATTCGCCGGAAATAAATATGAGACACCACCGCAAGAAAATAATTAACGAGAAACACACGCCTCCTCCACGCCTACACGCCTAGTAAGTAAATTTCGTCAGTCGCATTACTCGTTCGAGATCACACTGCTGAACATTCTGTTGCCCGATACTCAAAACCCTTCTCTGTCCCAACCTCTATACAATTACTACGGTTTCCAGTGATCCGGATGATGTGATTCGGCAAACAGTCATCATCCTAAAGACAAAAAGAGTCTTGTTGATGCCGACACATTGTACTCTCCGACGTCACTGTATAGTATGTGAAGTGTAGTTCGAGCCGAAGTTCCAAGATTTTCCTTCCACGCCTCCCTCTTCCTCTTTTTCCATCTATTTTGCAGTCAAAAATGGCACTTAACAAATGGTTATGTCTGAAACTGCATTCCAAAAATTTTGCTTTTCTGTTCAAATTATTTGTAGTATGGATCTCTTCTCCTTCCTATTTTCTAAAATTACATTAGAAATTCTTTCTGTCCAGTCAACCTTCAATATTTTACGCCACAACCACATATCAAAAGCTTCCAAACGACTCCCGTTCTTTTGTATAAGTGATCATTCTTCACATCCGTACAATTGCACACTCCAAATATGACTTTTTAGAAATGTCTTTCAAATACCCAAATTTACGTTGGTATTTGTGAAATAATTATTTTCTTTCCCACCTTGTGAGATGTGTCAGTTTCGTTAGAAACCCCAAAACTCTGAAAAAATCCAAAAACGTTTCGATTTTTACTGAAAAAGTCAATTATATGATTATGCTATTTAGTCTACTCTCGAACTGTGCATTCTGACAAAATTCTCGTAAGAAGTTGCCCATCATTAAATGTTTGCTATTTACGTGTTGTGTTATGGAACATAACTTTTTTGATATTCGTAGTACGAACACACCTGTTTCATTATGTGTACGTAAAGTATACTGTGGTATTGGAATATTCCAGAAGATTGTTTTTGTTAAAATATTTAATTTGTTGCAGGGTTGTTTATTAGTTGTTCTTGAGCAGTGTGTATGTTAGTTTTGGGCAAACAGTTTTGCGGGATTTTGTTGAGCAGCATTTTGTAGCTGCGGGGACTCATTGTTTTTACCTTCACGTGAGTGTGCGCCGCCTCCGTCTGCTGTGGCCGAGGCGGGAGGGTCGCGAGGGAAGTCTGTGCTCCGCTGTGCGCTGCCCGCCCGCTGCGCTCGCCTCCGTTCGCTCAAATCGCCTTAAAAGGCTCATTGCGGCGGCGGCATGAGGCGCGCGCACTTCATAAGTGACGGATGGAGCCGCTTTTTGCGTCGCGCGCGGGAGCGGAGCAGCAAGCGGAGGGCAACGCGCCCGTCGCCCGGCGCGGCGGCGCCACCCCGCCACAGCGTCCTCGCTCCGCGCCACAACCCAGCTCCCTCGCTTGCACCCTCCAGACACACGCTCCCGTCTCTGCTCACGCCTCACGACCATCCAGCTCCCTCACTCCGCGCATGTCTCTTTCCTGCCTCACCCCTGCTCACTCTCCCTCGCTCCGTACCCACCGCCTCCCGTCCCACCCACGTGCACGCTCACGCCGCACATCCACCGAGCTGCTTCACTTCACAATTTCCGCCCTGTACGCGCCCCCGCCACGCTCCCGCCACGGACAGCCCGTCCGCTCGCCCCCACCTCCCCTTCCCTGCCCCGTTCACGCCGCTCTCTCATCTATTTCTCACCAAATCCCCCCCCCTGCGCTCGACAAACGCAAGGGTCCTTTGCTTCTCCTGTCCCGCGCCTCTGCCACTTCGCCTTCGACCCACTACTCCCCATTCTCACTTCTCACCGTTTTAGTTCTCTCAACTGACTCCACTACACCCATCCTTCTCTGCAGGCACCCCAGCGATTCACACTTCAGCGATCGTTGGCACTCGCCGGCAAGCAGAAGTGCAGGGCGCAGGGCAAGACAGTGTCAATGTAGGGCCCGGTTAGTCATCCTATCATCATACCGCTGACACAGCGAAAGCTTTACAACGTGTCCTCTGCCCTTCACAGACGAAAAGTCGCCTGGACGTAGCTAGTGCAAGCTTCTTGCTCAGGCGAGAGACAGTGGGAAGGCTGTATCTCCTCCAGTTGCGATCGCTCTAACATTACATAGGCTCTCCAATTGTTTCCCCGTGCGTCCTTCTCAAGCAATATCTCACCTAAAAGATCGTACCTATCTTTATAGGGCTTCCACTTTAGAGTCAAGTCATACAACAAAATATAACTATATATGAAGCAGTGTAACGCAACGTAATGTGAAATACCTGTTCTATGACATCATAACGTAACGTAAAGCAGCCGTACTCCGGTTTTTCCTTCGCTTGCAACTGCACTTGGCCTTTCTCGGCTGCCCTCGCCCGCAGCCGCCCCCGCGCGGCGCACATGCTAGCAGCGGCGAGGTGCGCGCGAGACGGCTTGTCGCGGGGGGCGGGGTGTTGCGTTCCCACTGCCCGCCGGCGCCGCGATGCCTGGCGTCGCGCACGCGAGGCGTTTTTGCGGCGGCGCCTGTTGCGCCCTGAGCGAGGAGCGCCGCCGCCGCCGGCGCCGCGGGCGCCCCGGGGGGCGACGCGGAACCCCTTTTTTGGTTTTTTAATTTTTTTTACAAAGCATACATAGATCAATACTTATTATACACTTTACATATATAGTGAAGGCTTACATTATAATTTACCTACAAATAAACTACCTACTAATTTGGGTGAGGAAATCTTTTGTAGAGACCTATAAAAGCAATTTATTTCGGAAAATTTGACTAGAAATATCTAGTATGGATATCTATTTTTAAATATATTTCTGTGAGAAGGAGTTCTCCGGAGTCTGAAGTTGGCTACGCGAGAAATTTGAGGTATAGAGTTATAGAACTGGGTGGAGAGATACGTTATATTATGTTGTATGGAGTCCATTTGGAATTCTTTGTGGAGCTGTTTGTGACAAACCAAGAAGCACTTGTGATAGTTGTAGGAAACTGGTTGTGGACCTTTTGAAGATTGTTCAGGTTTGATTTTGCTCACGGAGAACCAAACTGGACAGGCGTATAGGAGGAGAGGTCTAATGCTGGTTTTGTAGATGGTTATGGCTCTTGGGAATGAGAGGTGGGAAGGTCGATTAATGATGGGTTTTAGTTCATGTAGATTTTTTTTTTATTGTTGTATTTTACTATTGATGTGTTAAATCTAATTCAGGTTAGTGTCTATATTAAGCTCGAGATATTTTATAATACTATTTGGGGGTAGCCAGTTAATGAATTCATTATCTATTGTCAGCGATGCTGGAGGTGTATAAAATTTTAAAGTGAATATTTTGATACCTGTTTTTGTGCGATTAAGTTTGATTTTTAAAAATACAGCTCAACTGTATATAAGATGGAGATAAAATTGAAGAGTGTTTCGGATATTTACTAGCGAATCTCCGGCTAGAAAAATTGTCGTGTCATCCACAAATTGGCCCGTTTGAATATAGTCTAATTTTGGATGGTCAGAAACGTATATTTAAGAAAGTGTAGGGGATAGTGGTGAACCCTGTAGCATACCTGCACTTATTGGTCCCTAATTTCAATGATGACAGAGGCTGAAAACGTTCTATTGTTAAGGTAGGTGAATATTATTTGAGTGAGATAATGTAGTGAGTACTTTTGTTAACTTGTAGTTAATTGCTTTACGCCACACTCTATCATAGGCCTGGGTGATGTCAATAAAAATCCCGACAGTGTGCTTTTTATTTTTGAAATCCTTTGTAGATGTATTCCGACAGTTGGAAAAGTTTATGATTGGTCAAGGTTTTCTCGGTGATGCCAAATTGTTGTTTAGTCTGCATCAAGCGGAACGGCTTGCAACGAAAGGCATAACGACATACAGCAATGAGATGTAATGTTTCAAGATTCACTCATGTAACGTAACGTGATGATACATAACGTTACGCATAACTGCATGCGGTAAAGAAATGCTATGCGCAATGCTCCTCCGCTTCAGAATTAACTCGGATAACGTAACCTGATAATACTAACGTAACGCACAATACAGGTTCGTTATTAAAGGAAGGCTATGCGCCAGGGACCTCCGTTTCAAAACTAGACATGTAACGTAGTGTACCGAAAAAGTATGCAACGTAGTCTTAAGAATCCTTATTTCACGTTTTATAACCTGGGATTCCATAGTGATTTAATGTAGTGTAAAATATTGAATTGTAACGCATTTTAACGAAACAATGTAACATAACGATTGATGTAGTGAAACGATATATAATGAAAACTGCAGTAAATTGACGCAGACGGTCTAGCCGGAAGCAAATTCTACGCAAGAGTAGTGAGTTCGAATCAAGCTGAAGCTTCGTTTTCTGCTTATCATTGTCAAGAAGTACGCAAAGGCAAACACACAATTCAAATTCATCTTATTATAATTCCTCAGCAAAGCCTATTTTCATTTCCCATGCTCGGCATGGAAACTGCAGCTACATCACAAGGATGTCAACTGAAGAACAATGTGATGTAATAACCCGAGAATCCTGGCAAAGCCACTGTCTCTCATCTAGCTCTTCTAGTTCCCAAACGGGGCTACTTTTGTGAGTTATCTTTCTATCTAGAATTGTTAACGCATTTCTCATAAAACTTTAAACTAAACTAATGAGACGAGTTTATTCCTTCAGTATACGGTATTCAGAATTCCCTCGAACAACGATCGCCAAAATATAATGTCCGTTCTATTATCTTTTCATCGAAATGAAGGATATCATTGATGACGTCGTTTTCTATTACAGTTACCATTGTGACAAGACTTCCACATGCAGCAAACAAATCATCAAATCTTCAAAGACCGAACGCAGTGAAGTAAAAAAATCGAAAATACACTGTTCACAACCTTCAGAAGTATGCCGAGAACATCAAGCGTTTACAAAAGTCAGTGGACAGTGCCGATTTAAAAAGGACGTCGTACAACGAATTAACATTTTTTCATTCTGAGAAACAATAGTTACTTACAATACAAATGGTAAAATTAACACACTACAGGAAAGGTTGCGAAACAAGGCCGAGAGGCGCACTCCTACGAGCAAAATAAAATAACTTTTATCATTTGTATGATTCACAATTGTTTACTGCCTTTCCTTTTATTTTAAATGAACTATTTAAATCACTTATTAGGTCAGAAGTGGCAGATAAGACGAAATTATTTTATATTCTTTGTTACATTTACAGTTGTATTTGAACATTTGAGC